TGCCCGTGGTGGTGGCGGTGGCAGTCGCACAGGTGACTGGGGGTGTCGGTGACGGGGCGATGACGGGCGGCGGGCAGGCGGGCGGACAGGCGGGCGGGCGGGAGGGCGGGCAGTCACGACACGCACAAGACACAGCGAGGGTTGTACCACACAAGACACAACGAGGGTGTTAACTTCTTGGTGATGGATCACCATTTTTTTCTCATTTCTACAAGGGCTTGATAGTGTGCCCATTCCTGGCTTCAGTCTACCGCCTGAGGCTTGCGGCCTCCGGCTCCGACCGCCTAGGTGAGAGTGGCTCACCGGCAGTCGACACAAAGTTGGCGATGGTCATGTCGAGCTCGGCGACCTCACCCGGCGCGCGTGCCTTGGCACCGACGGCCATATGACGGATGCGGGCCATGCAATAGCGACCAGATGGCTTCTTGTGGTACCAGTAGCGGTACCATTGGCCGGGCGGGAGCGAGAGGACCGCGTTGGGGGTGATGTCGAGGTATTCGATGAGCCCATCCTTGCGGTTGTCGTCGTCGTCATCGTCGTCCCATTCCGAAGATGGCATAGGATGCGCCCTGTCGATGTCGGCCGCAATGGCTGGGAGCCGCGACGCCGTGTTGAAGAACGAGGTCGACTGCGCAAGCGACGGCGAGTCCAGCGGCTGGACCATGAACGATCGCCGCCGCGGCCGCGGCCGCCCGATGATGGACGACCGCCGCGGCGTTCCAGCTGGAGAAGTGCCGCGCGGCGTATTGCTGCGTGTTGGCGACGCCGACGGGCCGATCTGCCGCCGCACTAGCGATGCTGACGACCGCTTACGCGTGCTTGGCGAATTGACTCCAGGTGAAATGGCGGCAGCCCGTGGCGAACCGTGGGTGGCCGATGCCTCACCGGGCGACGGGAACGGCACGCAAGTAGAGATCGACTGAAGCGGCGAGTGCAGGTCCGACGCCGATCGGTTGCGCCGGTCCGCGTCTGACTGTGGCGGTGAGGTCGACCGAGTCGACTCGGCCGTGTCGGCAAAGCCCTGATCCGACGGCCCACCACCGCCACTGCCACCAGCAGAGACCTGCACCGCAAAGTGCGACGACGAGTACAGGTGCGAGCCAAAGATGTTGTACGATGACACGTTGCCAACCAGCCACGAGCCGAGCTCCCACAGGCCGTCGTCGTCTTCGTCATCCCCGCCCGAGACAGTAAACGAGCGCCCGCGCGACCGCGACCGCGACCGCGAATCTGACGTCCGGTCGTGCCCGCCTGTCGTCGATGATGCTGACTTTGCCGCCGCGGGCTTGGCTGGTTCACCATTGTCGGGCTCGGCCGTGATCCGCACCGTCGGCTCCTCGCCGGTCGACGCCGCCTTGATCCGGGCCAGCTTGATCGTGGTGTAGTTGTTGCGGAGGAGTGGCGGAAGCTCGTCCGAGACTGCCGTGCCCAGAAACGACGGCTGGCGGTACTTGACCAAAAGTATGCCGCGCGCTCGGGAGTGAGCGCATCGGAGAGGAGGTTCGCCTGCAGCGACGTCGACTGAAAGCCGAGCTCCAAGAGCCGGAGCAGGAACGGGTCGGACGCCATAAACGACTCGTCGGCCGCCGCGAGGAGCGGCGCGCACGGGCAGAGGAACCCGAGCTGCGAGTAGTAGCACTGCAGCGGGCAGATGCTCGAGAGGTTCGCCGTCGACAAAATCGGCGGCGCTCGGGTCACCGTCGAGTCAGTCGGCGAGCCCGGTGTGTCGTACGTCCACACCTTGCGGTGGACCGCCGACGCCGCCGGTGGTACAGGCTTGGACACCTTGCGCATAAAGTCCGAGTTGAATGCAGACTTGACCGTCGCGCGCTTGGTTGGCGACATGTCGAGCAAGCTGGAGATGAGCTTGCGCGCCTTGGACTTGATTCGCCGCGGGTACGAGAACTTGCCTGCCCGCACCAAGTCATACAGTGTCGAAAGGTCGGAATGGTGGAACGGAAGCTCGCGCGAGAGCATCCGGAACAGCGTCACTCCCGCAGACCACATGTCCGCCGCCCGAGGATCATACGGCTCGGACCGCATCAGCTCTGGCGCCGCAAAGCACGGCGTCCCGCAAAAGGTCGTCAGCGCGAGCGCAGGGTCGAAGATTGTGGCAAAGCCAAAGTCCGCAAGCTTGACATGGCCGTCTGCAGAGAGCAAGATGTTGTCCGGCTTGATGTCGCGGTGCGCGAGGCAGTGCGAGTGGAGGTAGATCATGGCGGAGAGGAGCTCGCCAAAGAGCTGGGCGGCACGGAGCGGCTTGAGGCCCGACTGAGTGGCGTCGATGGCGTCCTTGAGCGATCCGCCACCGCAGTGCTCCATCACAATGTAGATGTTTCGCGCCGTGTAGAGCACTTCGTACAGCTCCACAATGTTCGGGTGCTGAACCAGCTGCAGCACAGCAATCTCGCGCGCAAGCATCCGCGCCTCCGACTCGGACTCGATGTTTGCCTTGCGAATCTTCTTGATCGCCACCACCTTGTCCGTGGCAATGTGCTTGGCCAGGAAGACCTTGCCCGTAGTCCCGCGCCCCAGCAGCGGACCACCGGCCGCCTCTGACATTAGACGGTACGTGTCGAGCACGTCCGACTCGAGATGCGTCTCCACAGAGTCAACATGGAGCGAGAAAAACGCCCCGTTTCGCGCCGCCACAGTCCGATGGAATGCAATCTCCACCTTATCCAGGTTCTTGCGCGCAAACGAGATGCCTTGCAAGTGCTGCGAAATGATTTCATCACGCATGTTCTCCGGCATCGAGTCGAGGCCGACCACCGCGAGCTCGGAGAGCAGGCCGCGGTCAAAGAGAAACTCGTCGAGTGCGTTGATGTCGTCGCCGTGTGCCCCGAGCTGTAGATTGCGCCGCTTGGCCTCTCCATCGGGCCAGTGTCCCGTTCGGCCTTCCGCCCGCCGCGAGCTTCGCCTGCCGTCTCGTCCGGCTGCGCCATGTGCCCACTTGCGGCTGCACCCGAGCTTGACATGGCCGCTCGCGCGGACTTGGCACCCTTGGGCTTACTCTTGCGTGCCGAGTCGGGCGTGCTAGGCTGTACTGCCGCCGAGTGCGCCCGCCGTAGCCGGTCGCTGTCGGCCGACACGGTAGCCGACGCCGACGCCGACGCCGACGAGAGCAAGTCGCCCGACTCGTCAGACGAGTCAAAGTCCGACTCCGAGTCCGACGCTGACGAAAGCGACGAAAGCGATGAGAGCGAAAAGTTGGACGCGAGCCCCGCCGGGTCGTGCACTCCGGCCTCGGTGAGCATGGTCGCCAGCACCGCCCGTGCCTTGGTCTCAGCCTTGGCCCGTGCCTTGGCCTTGGCCTTGGCTTTCGCGGTAGCCTTGGCCTTGGCCGACACACGCACTAGCTCGTTGACAAAGGCCTTGGTCTGCTCTTTGGTGTGAGCCTTGGCCCGTGCCTTGACGTCGGCCTTGATTTCTGACCGCAGCTGCGCGCGCAGGTGCGCTGTCCACGGCGTATCCGACCCGCCTGAACTGTTTCGCGAGCTCGCGCCCTTGTTTGCCTTGAGCTTCGCCTTGGCCTTCACCCGTGCCTTCGCGAGGGTGACTTTGGCCCGCGCCCGAGCTCGCGCCGACACCAGTGCCAGTGACGACTCAGAGACCCGCCGCGATTTTTGCGAGCCTGACGACGGTTGCTCGTCGCTGTTGATTGCCGCCACCCGTGAGTGCGACTTTGACTTGGCCTTGGCCTTGGCCTTGGCCTTGCCCTTGGCCTTGCCATACTTGCCCTTGGCCTTGCTCGAGTCCTTGGCCTTGGCCTTGCCGCGCGGCGAGGACGACGAGTCCACCAGCGGAATGAGGCCACGGGCACCGCCTGAAGTTCCGAGCGAGATGTCTCCCGCGGTGAGGCCTTCGGGTGGGTCTTCGCGATTCGGGCGTGGCAATCGTCTGCGGTTCTTGGGCGGGCACGGCGAGAGCGAGTTCGATTCAGAGGTCGAGTGGGAGAGGACAGGCGTGGTCGGCGTGACCGGCGAGGTAGACTCGGGTGTCTCGGCGCCCGACGAGTTGTACAGACCGGCAAACGAGCCTGCAAGCGGTGATGGCGACCGCGGCTGCGTCGAGTACAGGCTCGACTCGACAGACTCGACCGACGCAACCTTGGAGCTCGAGCATGACCGGTCGCGCCGTGACCGGAGTGGCACATACGCCGGCGAGAGCGATCGAGGCGTCGATGGCTTGAGCCGGTCGGCCTGAATCGCAGACTTGGGCATCGACTTGGTCCGATGCAGGCGCTGCACGTCGTCGTTCGATGCGTCACTCGCCGAGAGCCGGTCGCTCGCCTTTGGTCCCGTCGGCATGGTTCGCGACATTTCGGGGTTTGTCACATTGTTTGGGTCGAGCATGTGGATCATGGCATCCGATGACGACGACGTCGTGTACGAGATCCCGGACGACGAGTGCGGAAGCAGGTGCGAGGTCGGCGACGCCGGCGCCGCGTCATTTGGCGGCCCGTCGACTGGCGCGCGGTCTTCCGCGACCGTCGGTGACGCGGCGGCGGCCTTGGCTGTTGCCACCCGCCTGTCCGACGACGAGTTGTGTGCGCCTGACGACCGCCGCTTCCGCGATACTGCCGGGGGGTCCGACTGCTTGACTTGCGAGTTACGACGAAGCGGCGGGACAGACGGCGAGACGGAGCCTTCGCTCAACGCTGCTTCGTTCGGTGAGGATGCGGCAGCAAGCGGACTAAAGTCGCCGCTCGCACGAGAGCTCCTCCGTCTTGCCCTTGACGTCTTGAGCTTGCTTTTGATGCCAATGTCGTCACGGGAAGTGGCTTGGCTTCTGCCTGACGGCGACGACGAAGTTCTTGCCGACGACTTTGCCGCGACCGTGTGACGACGGGAAGCACGGGCGACGGGAACGGGAACCTGTTTCCGTTGCGACATGACAAACGTGTTCACAGCCGGATGTGCCACGCGCCACTATATGTTCTTGTCTTCTTGCTATGCCTGCACCTACACACACGGGCTCGTGCCGTGCCCCACAAAAGCGGGAAGGTAGTGGTGGTGGGCAATAGCGGAAGAACACGACCTGCCGAAACGACCGACCGACCGACCGAACGAACGAACGGCTCAGTCAACACCACAAAGTCCAACGATTAATTGAAGGAATAATGACAATGCTAATTGAGCAATGTCGGCAGGCGAATGATGGTGGCTCTCCCGCTGCGGAAGAGGAGGATAAGCT